CAGTCCAGTAATAATAATAATACTAGCAACTGTAATGCCAGTTAACATTTATTGAGTGCTTACTGTGTGCCAGGCATGGTAAGCACTTTTTACATTTAACTTATTGAATTCTCATAATGACCTAGGAGGTAACTATTATTATTATCCTAAGTTTTAGAAAGCTGAGGTCCAGAGAAGTGAAATAACTTGTGTGAGGTCCTATGATGAGTTATTACCAGGTAAGATCTATCAAGTGGTCTTTTGAGGCAAGCTAAATAAAACGGTATTGCATTTTTGTAGAGTCCCATTTTTACTTCCTCCTCTTGCCATGGTAAGGCTCGTCTGATCCCTCTGCAGGAGGGAAAAATGCTTTCATGACTCACTGTTAAAAAATTAATGTTGTACAGCAGGACTTATATATTTGGAATAAAACTTTCACAAAACACTTTTACTATATGTGATACACTTTGCTATTTCCCATTGTATTCTATTTCATTTTAAAAATGCTGATTGTGACATGCTCATGGATTTTATGTCTTGCTTAATGATTTAGAACCCATTGTTTAGAAAAACTCTTCTTTAGTTCACTTCACTTTTCACAGTCATCTTATGAAGTCGGTATAATTTTAACACCCGTTTTACAGATGAGAGAACTGAGTGAGTATGTTCAGGGTTTATGCAAAGAAGCCAAAGTCTATACCTTATACTTGAGATTATATATTTTTCAAAACAGACATTAGTTATGTTAAAACACAGCTTTATAAATTCTTATGAGCTTAATACATTGTCTGTAGCCTGAATAAATACACAGTCTTGTACATCCGGGTATATGGGCACTGTTCTAGATCTAATACAAGAAGATGGGCCTGTAGTTTATCAAAGGTAAAGTAACTAAAGTCGTGGTAGTTTTTAGTTATTATACCTGTTTCATCATTTGATTAAATAATTACAACTTTTGTCATATGGAGATCTGAGGAATTCTTTGAGATCAGAGTTGCTTATTTTCTAGGAAAAGGATTGAAACTCAGAGGCCACACCTTCAGAAGTGTGGTTAGCAGACTCATCTGGGGATTTGTGAATTATATATTTCGTTTTGTCAGCCTCCAGTGAAATTTCAGCATATGTATCAATCATTAGTAGGCGATGGACCACACAGCAGGACACATTACACTTGTGCTCTCACACAACACACAAGAGTTTGTCACCAACAGAAATTATCAATATTTCGTATCACATCACAGTATTACAGACATTTCAAAATATCATTCATGCTCATCAACTAAACTGAAGTCATGCTAGTTACCAGAGCCACCATTAGATCTTGGTATTGAATGTGCTGATGGAGAAGCACACGGATTAGTGTATCACAAATGTTGTTCTTAATATTTTGGTCATTGCGTTTCAGTATAATTTTATGTTTTCGAGTACATTAGAAAATAGAAATAAGAAAGGGTCCATAGGTCTTACCAGATTGTCCGAGTGGGCCATGGCTCCGAAATGCATTAAGGCCTTGGCTAAAGGACGGGGGTGGAGGAGCTTGAACATTAGCTGATGGTTCCTGGAGACCTCTTTAGAAACAGGGCCTATTTCTAGCCCCTCAGCATCAACATCATTTATTGTGATGGTTTGGCATATGGAGAAGTGGACTACCTGCTCTTTCTAGGCAATGTGGAAACTGATGGGAGCGAGTTCTTTGGTCCTTTAAGTTTTTTCCTCTGGTCTCTGAGTCTGTCCCTTATGTTCACTTTCCTGTTTTTGCCTTCTTCATTGATAGGACTCTGCCTCTTATATTTGGCACACAGAGGCATGAAGGAGCTTTAGAGCTACCGTTTTGCTGAATTTAAGTGGAGGAAGTCACCTTTGTTTAGCAGATACCCATTGTTTATGGTTTCAACAACAACAACAAAAAACCCAACTGACTGATTTTCTTGTCCGAGTAGTGGGAAAAACCTACATTTCTGGGCTGAGTCCTGGTGTTAGTCTTCCTAAATATTCATGTTGCTTTGCAGAAGTTAAGGGCCAGGGAAATGACCAGTGATTTAAATTATTGCTAGGCCTGCATTACAGTGCTGGGAACATTAAATAATAAGTAACACACCTACTCTCTCTCAAAAGTCTCTGCTTTGATGAAGGGTTGCAATGGTTTTCATTAAGTCTTATGTTAAATTTAGCCATAAAAATGTTCTGTATATTTACAGGAAAATAGGTTATTGTGTGTTCTATGAATTGACATATTTGACAAAGCTGAATTTTTCTAATCTTGGGATCATCAAGATACACAAAGTTTAATTTACCTATGAAATTCCTTTGAGATGATATATACTCCCTTCTATGATGTTATCAGAGTTACCTCTGATTGAATAACTCCATTCCTTTTTCACAATCTTAGCATGTTCCCTCTGTTGTCAGGAGAATGACGGAGTTCAAGATGCTTAAGAGGGGGCCCAGGGTTTCATGGTCTGGGCCCTGCTACTTCTTTATGGCTGACCATCTTCCCCCATGTTATATAAATTTCATCCTTTCTAAGGTCCTTGTATTTTCCTGCACTCATTCTGACTTCAACTACCATGACTCTGCATAGGTGATTCTTTCTCTTGCTCTATTTGCTTCCTGGAAAACTCCTATTGGTCCTTTCAAATCTCTTGGGCATCACTCTCTTTAGGAAGACTTCCCTTTAAAAAAAGTTGTTTTAGGGGCGCCTGGGTGGCTCAGTCGGTTAAGCATCCGACTTGGGCTCAGGTCATGATCTCACGGTCTGTGAGTTTGAACCCCGCGTCAGGCTCTGTGCTGACAGCTCAGAGCCTGGAGCCTGCTTCAGATTCTGTGTTTCCCTCTCTCTCTGACCCTCCCCCATTCATGCTCTGTCTCTATCTCAAAAATAAATAAACATTAAAAAGAATTAAAAAAATGGTTTTAATTCCAGTATTGCTAACATACAGTGTACTATTAGTTTCAGGTGTACAATATAGTGATTCAACAATTTCATCCTTCACCCAGTGCTCATTACCACAAGTACCCTCCTTAATCCCCAAGAAGACTTCCCTTGTATTGACCTCTACTCATTGCTACCCATCCAATAGAGGCTGGAGGATCTGTGTTGGCATATTAACTGGTGGTATTGCTCTGAATGCATTAAAATGGCTTATTTTCACAGTAGTATCCTCCTTTAAAATGGAATTCTCCTTGAGGAGAAAGAGAGTGTCTTTATCTCTTTATTACAGGTGTCTAGCATGAGACAGGTACTCTTCTGATTTTGGATGAAAAAATATAATGATCATGCTAACCTAACTGATGGTGTGTTGAGAGGATGGAGTAGTAAAATTCAAGCATTACATATTACATACCATATGGGTCACTTCTTGTGTCCTTCCTTATGTACTCGTAGCCTAACTTTTGACTCCAGCTGTTGCTGTGACAACTGTGTGCACTTGTGACCCATCAACTCCTTGTCTCACCTGCACCACTTAATTCTTGCTTCCTGACCTAGGGCTTCTCTGATGCTTCTGCTTGCAGAGACCAGGCCACTCATTCTACCCTATGCTCACACTGGAAGTGGGAGTGATTTAAACCCTATGGGGCAATGGTGGTAATGGCTGGGTAAATATTACCCAGTCCCCACATTCCTCAGGAAGACACTGGGGGCTCATTCTGCAAGACAATTCAAAGTATCCCAGGAGGAAGGAGCCTCAGTTGCCCATCCCAGTGACTATTTCAATAAAATGTCTGTGTGTTGGCTTCCCCTCCTTCCCTGTTTCAATCCGCCTTGTTCTTTACTCCTGTACCTTGGAATCACTTCCCAAAAAAAATGATCTTGTCTGAGGCTCTGCTTTTGAGGAAACCAGACTAAGTCAGAGCCCTGATTTAAAACCAGCCTCACTATGTTATATTTTTCTTAGCTTGAGTGATGTTTGGAGACTATTTGCAAGTCTCATAAAGTAGCCAGATGGTATGGAATACAAATAAATAGGATAGCATCCCCTGAATTTTGTATAAATGTGCTATAAAGTATGTGATGTTTTGTGAGTTAGGAATTCTTATTTCCTTCAATCAGGAGACAGACTCAGACAGTTGTTCAGTTTTGTAAAAACACTTCTCCGTAATTCTACAGCTGTGTCTTAGGTGGTAACTGATAGTGATGTTTTGATCACAGCTTTACAGATGGTGAGGTCCTAGACACAGCAGCTTTCTCTGAGCAAGTGTGAGGCCCTGGAAGACACACGCCTTTCCCATAGGTCAGCGTAAGGAACTTGGATGTGAAACTCTATGCTAATACCAGTAGGCTGGATGGCTTGCTCTGGTGTGTGTGTGTGTGTGTGTGTATGTGTTCGTATGTATTTCTTTTTTAAGCACAAGGTATGGATTCCAACCTCATATTTTAAATATCACAATCCTTGGATTACAAATAGAAAAAATACTTTTTTTTTGAAAAATGCAAATTATTAACCAGTAAAATTGGCATCTGAAACCCTGTGCATTACCAAGTGGGTAAATTACAGAATTATTGTATCCTTTGCAGCTTAGAAGAGACACTCAGCGTTACTCAGAGCCGGAGACCCAAGTAATTTCTAACATAGCCTAGGCCTTTAGAGTCCCCTTCTCCTGGTCCTGTGGTACACCACACCGCCTTTTCTTGAGGATCTTTCTTTTATTTTTTTAATTTTTAAGAATTTTTAACGTTTATTCACTTTTGCGAAACAGAGCAAGACTGAGTGTGTGGAAGCAGCCATAGAGAATACTGAAATGAATGAGCATGCCCGTGTTCCAATAACGCTTTATCTACAAACATAATGGCAGGCCTGATTTGGCCTGAGGGCTATCATTTGCTGTCCCTTGTTTTACACCATTGGAGTTACAGTGATTTCTACTTGTTGGTCGTAAAAAGGCTAATGGGTTCGGGAGAGTTAAAACCGCCGCCCCGCCTGGTGGTGAGCTGGGCTGTTGCATCACAGCACACACATGATTGGGCTTCCTTCCAGGTCTGTGTATGGTCAGACTCTGAGCCAGCAGCCAAGACAGTGAGCCTGGCACCCACGGTGCTCCGGTTTCCAGAAAGAATCACGAATACCCTTCCTGTGCAGATAAAGGAACAATTGTACTACAGGAGAACTTACTGGAAAGTAATGTGGGGTCACCAGGAAGGAAAAGGAATTCACTCCTCAGTCACAGTCTTCAGTCTGGTTGGGAGTCACTCAGACTTGGAAAGGTCAGTTAGGATGCATGTCTGATTTTGGCAGGCCTCCAGGGCTCTGCACTCACGGAATAATACCTTGGCTTTGGTGATTACAATGGCACACTCAGAGCTTCCTTTGGCTGCTCCGGCCATCCCTTCCTCCTCACAGTCAGGTACATGATTCCTTCCAGTATTTCAACCTCATGTGTCATCTGCCGATGCTAAGATTTATTTCTGTCAACCAAAATCTCCAATAGACTCAGTTTGCCTTCTTTCAGTTTTATCTTTCACAAACCTTGACAACATGGCTTTTGAGTCTCATACCCCATGCTTCCCATCCCTGGGATCTGGTCCCAGGTTTGAGGCCCTGGAAGACAAATGTCTTTGCAGAAGTCGATGCAAGGAGCTGGGATTGAACCCTATTATGCCAGTGGACTGGGTGAGTGTCCCTGTGTGTGCACATGGGTACGTGCATCTGACTTCAACCTTCAAATCATAAGATCACCTTCCCCTTGGGCCTCTCTGCTCAGCGAAGCTCCTTCAGCAGCCTTGGTGCCCTCAGTTAGATTCATGAGTGGGTATTCTCTGGCTGTCATTCTCTAGTCATCTCTCCTTCTCATTTTTTATCAGGTGGATCCACATCATGGTCTGTTTCAAAGTTGAAGGAGGGGCTTTCAGAGGCTGGATGTCTTTTTCAACGGATTTAATGATCTAATACTAAAGAAAAGTACATGCATTACCTGTTTTGATGATCAGTTGGCCACACTGGATACTGGTCATAAAAGCTCTTAATGGAGGTCTAAATTTTTAGTGTTGAAGTGTTTTAGGGGAAAAAAAAATCACACATTATTATTATTTTCTCCAAGTAGCACTCTGGCCCTTAGGGAAAGGGATGTTGGTCGTTATGTGAGAGGAAGCAGAAATGAAGAGGAAGGAAGGAAGGCAGGAATTTGATTATTTCTTCATAAACAGCTGATTCCTTTAGCACCTGGCTGTGGCTCCTGCTGCTGTGAGAAGAATATCAATGGCTTTAATATTCCATTGTTTGTGGCTGGAAAGCTTTGCTTGCTGTTCTAAGCTGCTTGGCTCTCAGACTGGCAACGGGGCAGAAAATGTGGTGGATATAAGAAGAAAACAAGCCAAAGTGCTTTAAGTCAGGTTAGCTTCCCCTTTAAAGCCCATCTGGGATTTCTTTCTCTCTCCCTTCTTAATAAATCTGTTTGATTTGTAGCTATATTTCTTACCCTGAAGAGTGGCATATTCTTCAGTGTACAGGTTCTATTGTTCTGCTCACGTTATGGCTTTTTTGTTAGTATTTTTAATGGCCTACTTTGTTTTGACGAAATCCTATCTTCTTCAGTAACACCAACGTTGACGAATGATTAATGAATACAAATGAAAAAACCACTCTCAAAACAGAAGCTAGAAAAGGTGGGGGAAGAGCCAGTGGGCAGATGAATTTGAAATGGCTCATTACCACAAGGTGGCGCTGTTAAAACACCTCATTTTTAAAGTCCTAAAAACAGGTTGCAAATAAAGAAGGAAAACACAAAATTAAAGACCCTTTCATAAGAAAATACTTGGTATCACAAGAGTGGAGTGAGCGTGTGTGATGTTATTTGTGTGTGCATGTGTATTGAAGATATAATCGTTACGGGGAGAAGTGATAGAATTGTGTTTGTTTTTTGAGAGAGGTGTTTAATGATTGATACTCTCATAATTCAAATAGTAAATATTTTTATTGGGTTTTTTAAGTATGTTTAATTACAACTGGATCCTTCCTGGAGTTTTCTGAAGCATGACATTGTGGACATCAGAATGATAGGTTAAATTTACCATTGCTTAATCTACTTGCTTTCTACATAGAGAGCTTGCACACTAGGGGCATTTATTTGAAAACAATTAGTGCTCCATTAGGGGAAACATGAGGCTAGCCGGGTCTCAAATGTTCTTGACTGCTGTGGGAACTTGGTGTGTGGAAAGATGGTAAGTTAATACAGTACTTGGAAAATACTTCCTTACTTTAAAACGTGTTGTCTATTATGCGACTCCCTTGATGCCACTACTATTGTTGTTAAAAGTGAATGTTTTCATGTTTGTGCATTCTTTGTCTAGAGTATCATTTACTTATGGACAGAGAGATGAAAAGCTGATATTTTTCAAGGTTGTACTTTGAAGGAAAGGTGTTCATATAATGGTCCAGATCATCTTACTCCTGAGCAAAGGCAGGGGTGGAAAGTTATCTAACACAAGTGAGTAGAAGCACACAAACTATACATGGATGTTCCCTTACTCCATCCTCATAGCAATTCTCTGAATCAGATGATGTTAATATCTCCATTCTCAAGAGAGGTTCTGAGAAGTTAAGTAACCTGTCAACCGTCACAAAGCCACTGTGTGGCACAATCAGGAGTTGAGTTCAGAAATTATTCAAGGGAGGAAATGCAAGGAAATGAAAAGGAAAAGGTCTAGGCTGTCTTGCAATTTGTATTTAGACAAAGCCTGATCACATAATGTGGATCCCTTTGAAAGAAAAATAAACCTGCTTTCCCTACAGCCAGATGAGGGCTATAGGTAGAGTAATACCCACATGCATGTACATACATATATATATATATTTTTTTTTTCAACTTCTCATATGCAATTTTCATCTCTGTCTTAGCATAACTATAACATTTCCCACCATCCACAAAGCATGTTCCGTGAATTTTTACCATAGCTGGGGGAAGCACTACAAGTTGATCATGAAAGCTGTAGCTGTGATATCTCCCAGATAACTCATACTACAGACGCACTGACCCAGCTGGAAATGCAATTCATGATAGAGAACTCAACTGATTTCTGCTTCAGGAAAAATTACGTTAATGGGAGTATGAAACTCTGACGACAGTGATACATGCTAAATACTCCATATGCTGGCAGAATCTGAGCCTATAGTAATATAAAAAATCCTCTTTATTGTTTTGAAGTATCTGAAAGAATTATATGTCTATAATTAGACTTATAATTGAATTCTATTTAGGGTAGTAGTATTAAGCCTATATTTTGCAGAGATACCTGTGTGTCCATCTGGGAAATTGTGTGGAAGGAGATAGTTTGTATGGGGTGGCGGTGATGGTGGGTGTGAAGGGAGTGTGATGGAGGAGGTGGACTTTGGTCATCTATCTGAGCGTTTTCTGGAGCAGGTGGGCGATTTCTTATAGTATTTTGTATGTGTGGGATATTTGATTTTGGTGTCAAGTCCCATAGTATATTGGGAATCTAAGTGATTTATTTAGGTTTGTTTGTCTATGTATGTATGTATTTATTTATTATTTTTATTATTTATTTATGTATTCATCACACAGTCATACTTAAAATATTCAAATATTTTGACGATTTGTTTTTAAAAATGAGAAAAGATGCCCTGTGACCTCTGGCTTTCAGGATTGAATGTGACACAGTATTTGGAAAGAAAAAAATCATTATAGATCTCAGAGAGGTGCATCACAAAGGATTTAAATTCTTAGTTTGATATATATAAGAAAAGGAAAGAATCTCATTCTGTGATGACAAATCTTGAACCAGCCCGAGGCTGACTAATATAGAAGTAAAAGCAAGCAGGAAGCATTTTGACAAGCCGCAGACCTGGGGTTTATGCTGCAGTTTTGAATGGTGTCCTCTAGTGGTTCGGAAACAGTGACAGGAGTGTCATTTATTTGGCTGTTTCTTGGCTCGTTTTTCATTCCACTATGTTACAAAGGGATCTCACATGCCCACTGTAGAGAAGGGAATCAGAAGACCTGGATCAGCAGGCAGCTTGGAGACTTTTTTTTTGTTTGTTTATGAGAAAGGTATGTGGTTTATCTTCTAGTGTACTACTAGCTGTGTTTTCAGGATAATATTTTTGATGTCGAAAAAGTGCTTCCTGCCTGGCATTGCACTTGCACTGTTGCCATTTGTGTTTTGCTGCAGTTGAAACATGGTGTGACTTGGTCTAGTTCCCAGCTCCTGGAGACCACAGGAAGCACAGACAGGTACCTGCTTGATTCTCCACGGCTGCAGACATTCCCCAGGGTGCATCAGGTAGCACACACTGCACTTCCTGTGTCATGCCCACGTCCAGCTGTCAGGCCCTCACCCAGAGGGCTGGGGGAGTACTTGGGAGTATTTTGTTGATTTGGACTCAAGGTTAAGCAATCTGTTTTAGATCTGAGGAAACTTACCTTAAGGAATATTAAAAGGTCTTATGAAAAGGTTGGAAGGATTGGCTACATGTCGGTTTGTTAATGAGACTTGAGTCATACTTATCTTGGTAGTTAATCAGTTAATAAATGATTTTGATATGATATTTCCTTTCCTTCTTAAAAGATTTTCCCGGGGCGCCTGGGTGGCGCAGTCGGTTAAGCGTCCGACTTCAACTAGGTCACGATCTCACGGTCCGTGAGTTCGAGCCCCGCGTCGGGCTCTGGGCTGATGGCTCAGAGCCTGGAGCCTGTTTCCGATTCTGTGTCTCCCTCTCTCTCTGCCCCTCGCCTGTTCATGCTCTGTCTCTCTCTGTCCCAAAAATAAATAAACGTTGAAAAAAAATTAAAAAAAAAAAAAAAGTTTTTCCCTGGCCGTAAAGGGTTGCCAAGGATATGGCGGTCTTTGGTGATTTCCTGTGCACCTTTTGCATTTCTTTTTTTTAATGACACCTCCTCAGTATGGAGAAACAATAGAGGAAAAAGGAAATTTAGGGAAAATAACCAAATGCAGGATCAGGAATCAAGCTGAGATTTTTGCGTTCCATGTTCTGTATACTGCTTTGGCATTGTTAATAGCAAGCTAAGTATTTAATAGCTAAGCAACAAGAACTTGAGACTCGAGCCCCATTTTTGAGATTCACATACACCAAAAACTATTGGGAAGCAACACCCGAAGTGTATATTTATTACTAATTTATTTACACAAGACCTCATTCTGTAAAGGAAGTTAGCGGTTTGCAGCAATAACATATACAATAAATAATAGCAAAATATGAAACAGAGGAGCTGGAATATGTATATCAGGAC